TCAGCGCGCAGCAGGTGCGTGTTTGTGAGTTTGTGACGTTGTCACCTTGGATGGAAGACTCGCTCGCCAAGGCGGTGTGTAATAACGACTCTTTTTGTTGTAACAATTCAGAGTTTATTGTTGAGTTGAATTAAGATTGGTTCGAAGTAGGCGGTAAGCGATGCTCGTAATCTGATAATTAATGCGTTCGGTTAGATGTGTGCACGGTAATTCACACTTGATACGAGTAGTTTCTCACAGCCGTTCGAAAGAAAATGTATTACGACCAGCAATGAGACCGGCAAATCTCGCCGAAGATTCAAGTAATCCTTGTGCACTGAATGCCCTTGCGGTACGCGTATACCGAGAACGATAGGTGACAAAAATGCAGCGATAATACGCGATGGAACTTCGATGTGGCTCGAACTTCAGATTCGAGATAAGAAGCGTTACGAATGAATAGCGATACATGATCCATATTGATCAGAATTGGAAAGCGAACTGAATTGTCATACGCGAAACATGTGCGCGATCAATCTTTTGAGTGTCGCGTGCCATTTGAGATAGAGCGTGATTAGAGCAGGAGCGAGATATCCGCATGTTTTGAATGGACGGCTTGGCTTTATGAGCTGTTTGCTTACCATCGCCGAGAATATATTCAAGGTAACGATTATTAAAAAACTGTAATAAACTTATTGCGAAAAATATTGCCTCGGCCGGAAGTCGAACCCGAATGTCTTGCATTTCGTGCGAGCGCCCCAAGTCTTTTTCGCAATAAGTTTATTACTGTTTTTTAAGATTAATTTGGGAAATTTGGGGAGATTATTAATATTTCAGATTGATTGCGTTGAAAGTCCGACAATCATATCGGCACGCAATTATCATTTATGAAATTAATTCATTTATATGAATATATATAATAATTCAACATCTTAACATTCAAACCGTAATGGCGCTTCGTATTTAAAGTAATGTTATTTAACATAAACGGTCTTGTTTCCAATCTTATTGTTCTCATGATTTTATTATTATATATAATTTTATATCATTTATAATAAATTGTTTCTCAACGATTTTTTGGTAGAGAAACGTATAAAGGTCTTATGCGACATTATATAGTTTTGGGGATTCACATTGTGCGTAAAAAAAAAAATAGCGTGCTAATAGTGTTTGTAATAGATGATAATATTACATATGGTAGAGTTACGCGTGTGATAGTTACACATGAACGTTTCATAATACTACGTATAAAAATATAAGCAAAATATAATAGTGTAATTGTGAATATTATTTCCTTCTTTTTAGTATAATGTCTGTGTTTAATTAAATGTTTAATTAGAATATTTTACTCTCGAGCCATATGTCTTATTATCTTCTTCGATATTTTTTTAGTGGAATAGACATATGGGGGAAACCATTAAAAAAAAAATGCATCTGCAATATTATCTCAAAGGTGGAAAAATATCTTAATTCTAATTATCGTACATTATTGTCATTTATATTTTTGCAAAAAATATATATCTAAATAATAGAAAATTTTATTTATAAAAATTATGTTAAAAATTTTTTCACTAAGTGACACTCCTGAGACATAGCGTCAGCCGCATGATCAGCGGTTCGACCGTCGAGCGGCAAGCGATAGTGAGGGAACAATGGATGTTCGGGAATTGGTCCAAAATGAGCAACTAATTCCGACCACTGTTATATAGTACTAATATCAATTGAAGCAATTGTTATGTAACATGCAATGAATGCCGTTATTTTGCTGTTCGTTTATTATAACATATAAATAAGGGAACAAATAATTTCATAACCCGGTTGTATTATATATATATATATAGTATAGTTATATATATATATATATATATATAATATATATATAGTATAGTTATATAATTATAACATAAA